TGTTTTTATTGTGGTAAAAAACACAGCATAAATTTTAGCATCTTATCCTTTTTTAGGTGTACCATTAAATGGTATTAAGCACATTCATATTTACATTGGTTATGCCTCCAAAGGTAAGATAATATATTAATATGCAAAATGGTATTCAAGCATACATTAGATAAATTAACATCAGATTTAGGGTAGTGATGGAGGCAGAAGTGGAGAACGAAAGGCATCAGGGATGGAGTACAAGAGGGCCTAAGTTTTATCTGGAATGTTTTATTTCTTTTCAAAATATCATAGATCAACTATGGCATAATGTTAAGACTCAACTAAACTGAGTTATAGGTCTTTGTTACATAATTTACTATACTTTTATGTATTCTGTTTAAAGTTTTTTATTCTGTCCTAATTTTAGACTTACGGAGAACTTGCAACAGTATGCTTACATTCCCTTACCCAACTCCCCTCTAATGTTAGCATTTTCGCACAAAAATGAATAGACCAGGAAATTGACTTTAGTATAATACTGTGAACTGAAATAAAGAGCATACCGAAATCTACGCAGGTTTTCCACTAATGTCATTGATCTATTCTATGATCCTATCTCGAATCCCACAGTGCTTTTAGTTATTTCTCCTTAGTCTTCTGCAATCTCTGACTGCAGTTTCTCAGTCTTTCTTTGCCTTTTATGGCCTTGACATTTGTCTGTTATTTGTTGAATGTCTTACAGTTAGGGTTTGTCTAATAATGTTTCACTATTAGGCTGAGATTATGCATTATTGGCAAGACTACCACAGAAATGATGTTGTATCCTCAGTGCATCGTATCGCATGGCCCACGATGTCACTTTTTGTATTGTTAAAATATTTCATAATTTCAAAAAGTGAAAAATAAGTAGCTATATTTAATCTAGGTCCTCCAGAGAAAGAGAACCAATAGTACATATATGTATGTGGATATAGATATACACGTATATAAATACACATACACACATACATATATATGGATTAAAGAAAAAAGAAGTTTTTTATAAGGAATTGCCTCACACAGTTACAGAGGCTGAAAAGTCCCAAGATGTGTCATCTGCAAGTCAGAGACCCGGGAGAGCCAGTGGTACCATTCCAGTCAGAGTCTAATGGCCTGAGGACCAGGAGAGGTGACAAGGTCAAATCCAGTCTGAGTCCAAAGACAGGGAAAGACCAATGTCCCAACTCAAAGACAGTCAAGGGAGAGCAAATTCTCCCTTTCTCAGTTTTTTGTTCTATTCAGGTCTTCAAAGAATTGGATGAGGCCCACCCACACTGGGGAGGACCATCTGCTTCCCTCAGTCTACCAATTCAAATGTTAATCTCATCCAGGAACACCCTCACAGACACACCCAGAATAAAGTTTGACCAAATATCTAAGTGTCCTGTGGCCCAGTCAAGTTAACCCACAAAATTAACCGTAACAGCTGCTTAACTTATAAAATATAAGCTTCTTAATCTAGATATTTAGTTTCCGAATCCCATCAAGTCATGGATTTTAGAAAGTGTTCCAATTTTTAGAGTTAGCATTATTACTGGCTCCAGGCCTAAAACATTGTAAATTCGTGACACATTATCATTTACAAACCTCAAGAGGCTTTATTATGGATGATTGTACTTCAAGAGAAAAGGTAAGGATGAGCCAGCTCATACTGTTTAGATAATAAGACTGTGATCCCTGAGAAGCTTGACCAGCAAGTCAAATTAAGGCCTTAAAGAATTTAATACAAATGTTTTTGTTAATCAAAACCAAAATCCCCTGAGCTATGATTAGAGGTGAAAGCTAAGCTGTCTTTTAGAATTGACTAAACTCCTCAGCATGGCATCCTAAGGATGATGTGTGTCATTGCTACCTCCATGATGTCTTGCCAAAAAAGATCTTAGTGCATTAACATATATCAAACTACTAACCGTGATTATCCTTTTTTCTGGGGCAGGAAAGAAGGGCAGTTTCAGAGGCTTTTACTGTTCTAGTTGTATTTTTTTTTTTTCGAGTTGTATATTTTAAATGAAATATGTGTGTGTGTAATTTTATACATTTACATGTATATAAATACAGAGGTGGGGAAGGGGAGGGAGAGAAAGAGATATGGATGGTATAATGAAAAATAAATATAAATAAACAAATAATAGAGTTTTCTCTGAGACTGCTCTTCTATCTTAAAGTTTGAAGCTCTTCTATCATTAAGATCACTCTAAACTTTAGTAATTTAGGCTGGAAAACAATTTTTTCCTACTTAAATGTTCTATTTATTTCAAGGTGTTCGATTTCCACAGGTAACAGTACAATATGTAGCTTTTTCCTCACTCCAGCTGCATGGAAAGAAAGCTACTTATGAATTCTTTTCTAGGCTCTCAGTGTTCTGAAAGGCAGTCACAGAGTTTTTATGGAAATCCAGAGCAGAGGGATCCTCATCTCATTATGTCCAAGAAGAAGCTGAATACTTATTTTAAATCTCACTTTAGTCTGCCCAAATGTGGATGCCATTGTTTCAGGCCAGCCCTGTGTACCAGCTCTTACATGTATCTACTTGTATCTTAGAACACACTGTTCTACTCCAAGGATTTTCTTTCAAGGAACCAGAATATGGGTTTGATTTTGGACTGAGTCAACTCTTCCCAGAATCTTCCAGGGAGGAGGTGGGAAGGCAGCCTCCTGAGAGACAAGATTTTGTTGAGGGAAAGAACAGGACCCTTTGGAGCCAGACTGCCTACCTTTGAATACAAGTTCTAGAGTTTATGATCCAGGACTGGCGGCAAGTTATACTAACTGCTCATGCCTTGGTTCCTTAATCAGTAAAACAAAGCAAATAATGATACTCAATAGACTGGGTTGCTGTGAGAATTAAACAAACACATGTAAAGTGTTTTGAACAGGACCTGGCATGTAGTAAGTGCCCCGCAAATGCTAGGGAATATCTTGCTCCCGATTTACCCTCCCTGGGATAAATCTAGGTCCCTGATCACTCATGAGAGATGTGAGCACTCTGTGGCTACTTGCCAGGTGGCCTCGAGTTGGGTAGTAGAGATGGTTTCTCCCAACTCTACCTCTGCCTATTTCTTACATCATGCCATCATAACTCCTGAAAGAGTCACCTAAATCATCTTTTTAACAGAACCTAGAAATTTAAATGATACACAGTGAAAAACCTGAGAGTCATAGCAAACTTTAAATATAATCTTGTTTAATAAAAATAAAGACTGAGAAAAATATTTGGAAAAGATCTTAAGCAACTAATAGATTCCAATGAGTTGAGGTTCTTTTAAGTCAGAGCAGTGTTTCTTTCCTTTTCCTTTCTCTCTCTCTCTCTCTCTCTCTCTGTGTGTGTGTGTGTGTGTGTGTGTGTGTGTGTGTTTAAGCCATGCTTCTTTTTGATAAACATAAAAACTTATGGTTTCTTTTAATGCTATTTAAAACTTGAAAAAATTTTAAACGTGAGCAAAAGCAAATCTAAGCAACGTTAAATTAAGAATACACTTTTTCCAAGTACACATGCCTTCCATCTGTAGGAAACTCTGAGCGGATGTTGTACTCCCTTCCTGAGAATAACTGAAATTGACCTACAAACAGCCTCCCGTAGCCTCACAGTTTAGACCAGATTGGAGGTTGCTATAGCTACGTTGGCCATGATAATTTTGCTCATAGAAAAGGTTTCTTTGGTTTGATCTATGCAACTGAGAACCTTCAATCCCACATGAGGACACACATCTGTCTTCAGAATCGAATGTTTGGAAACAGACAATGAAAGATTTATTACCTCTACCCATGAAGTACTCACTGAGAACATCGCAGCAGTGAAGGCAAAATGACCGGACTGGATCACTGGGAAACTATGATCTGACCAATCCCCAAATAATTTCATGATGTCATTGGAAAGGGAAAGGGAAATGATAGTGGCTAAAGG